TAACTTTCAACTGTCATCGATGTCTATCTATACTTTAAAGAGATACAGCGAAGTAAACAAGGTACATTGGTATGGTGACTAAATATGCAGCAGTTAAAAGCTTAATCTACTACATGTCTAACGCGAATGATACTCAGGAAATCATAGGATCGAACAGAGTCTCCAGAAGAAAATTACTACTCTACTTTTGGGACATCTGATAGTGTAGAGTACTGTCTGAAGAGAGTTTTCAAAGTCTGATATTTATCCTAAAACTATCGCTAGATGTCATAGATCCATAAGAAATAAAAATTATTTTAGTCTAATAAAACTTTGACAGCTAACATCAATTGTTATCTCCTTAGCCGTTTCACCTTCTCAACTCTTTTTAGTTCCTTCATTCGTTTCGCTCCTTTCATTCTTTAGAATGAGAGTGAGGAGTTAGAATAAAGTTTGTCGTAGTGACTTTCTCGGTGAATTTTCGGCAATGGTTCAAAGTCATGTTACCAATTATGCTTTTGTCTTTAGTGAAACTGATTTTTAGGTAGCAGTTAAAATTTGTTTTTACTAGGCTTTCACCCTTTACAGAACTGATCTACTGATAATTGCTAAAACTTTTATTTTTTTCATAAGCGAAGGTTTGATTGAAATAGAACTTTTCGGTATTGTCGAAAGTTAGTACTGGGAATTTTCTGTCTCCGGGCAAAAGGAGCTAAAATTGTACAGAATTAAAAAATTAATGAAAGTAAAAGGGAGTAAAGAGAGATAAGGATTAATGATATCTGATGTTGATTTGTTGGACAAAGATAACTTTGATTTCTTAATAAATCTCTTTTAAATATAGCTCTGAACAGATGACTTGCCTGATTTAGAGTTCTCCTATTCAATTACTCGAGCTCCTGACATACACTGACTAATCATATACTAGCCACAAGGGCTGATGTATTTCACAACATAGTTAGTATGCTATTGAGTATTCAGTCAGACTAAGTCTTAGTCGGATCATTGTTCAGTCGATCAATAAGGATTGAGACTGACGCATATCTATTACTGGCATATCAAGTTAAAGGATAAAAGCTGTTAGCAGCAATCCTTATGAGATTGAAATGTGAAACATGATGATCCTGTCGGACTATGATTCAGTTTTGCAGGTACATCTATTAATCTATAAGGGAGAGAATATGTTGCTACAAAGTTTGTTATGGTCTGTGACCAATTGTTACTAAGCTCTATGTGTGAAAGATCGTGTCTCACAAAACTTATATCTTACTTACACAATAATTAATGATGACTTCGAACTATGTTCTACTCTAAATATTCATTGTAAATTAAGACCTCTTTTAATTTTCTCTTTATTGACTTCTAATTCTGTTTCTGTTATCTTCCATGATTCATCATTTTCTGTTCTATTTTTATTATTTTCATGCCATGCTTGTAACAATTGATCAAATTTTTGTGTTTCATATTCATTTGGTTATTTATTAAGACCATGAAGACCATGAAGACCATGAAGAACATGTAGATTTGTATATCTGTATATCTAATTCGAAATTTTGTTAATAGTGACATTAGTGCAATATGTTGTCGTTCAGCATCAGTTTGCTCACCAGGTACACATGAAAATATTCGAAATTGACAATTACGTCAACGTCTACGACATCTTAATAAATAAGATAATAATAAAGTCAATCCACCATCATCATCAAATAACCACCAAACATCAATAATAGCTGATGATATTTGTATAGAATGAAAAATATTCATGTTTAATAAAGCACTTTTATTTATAATCGTATCTTTGAATGTTAAAACATCTGTTTGACGTCATGTATTATTAATATTATTATTATTTTGTGATATTGACATACATAATGAGTTAAATATTGTTGATTCCTCATCATCATCGATATCATCATCATTATCATCATCAGCTGAATCTATTGAAAAAGTTTCACATAAAAAAAATCTTTTTCCAAAAGAACTTTACCTGACTCAAAAAAATGACTAAAATCAAGTCCAGTTTTTAATCTTAAAATTCCAATACCATATTTAAGATGTAATGCATCATGAATTATATTAAAATAATCAATAGCTGCCTCTGCTTTTATTAACCAATCATTTTTAAAACCAAGAACAACGACATTTGGTCGCAATTTATCTACACATTAGACAGACAACAAAGAAATCATTTCATGAGAAGTTATGTTTTCATACTTGAAATAATGATATTACTCCTTGTCGAACAGTTGGCGCAATAACTGTTTGATAAAATACTTTAACTGTATGATTTTTTTAACCATGTTTTACCTTTATTTTTTTGTTCATATTGAATAATTATTTACTGTTGGATCATCCTTAAATATAATTTTTATTACACGTGCTTTTCATCACTTTGTGTTTATTATAATTTTGATGAATAATTTTTTGTCATTCGAAAATTCTCCTGAGTCCCACCACGAGAAAAGATGAGTAACCGGATGCTTAAAAAGTATTCTAAAATTTAACCGGAAGCTTCGAAACAGTAGGAAAAAATGATAAAAACTTCAATTGAATTCCTCCTTAAGCGTTTAATTTTTCATCGTTTTCCGTCAGTACAGCTCATCGGCGGATCTAGACACAAATCGTACTTTTGATACTTATTGAAGGTTTTAGTTCACATCTGATAGTGACTTCGAAATATACTCTGAACAATGTTCAAGCAATCTTGATGATCATCGTATAAAAATCGAATTATAGTTGGCTGGGTTTTTGAGGATAGTGCTAGTCTATTAAAACATTTTTATTTTCGAGAAATTTTGAACCAGATTTTGGAAAAAGTGGTGATAGAAAGTTGATTGAAAAGAACCTAGATGGGAACATCCTCGAAACATTGATCTCGAATGCTACGAAATTTCAGAAATCAAATGTTCATTTTTGTGTCTTGGCGGTAGCTAAGTCGTTCTGCTTACAACTCTACACGGAACCAATCCGATCTCTTAGGTAGATAATAATCAAAAACAAAACTTATCCTTTTATTATAGAAAAAAGAAATTTTTTTTTTATCCTTACTAAAATCACATTTCCACATTATCATTAAACTATGTCCATAAGTAACTAACCAACAAAGATCAACTAATGTTGGACGATAAATTGGATTCCCAGTTAAAATTAATATTTGTGGTCGAAAATTTTTCACATGTCTTTGAATATTATCTAATTTATGAGTTGCATCTAGTGCTCGTCGATATGCTCGAGCTTAAACAGATGAAGCCCAATTAATTTCTACAAAAATCTATCATTAAAATTTTATTCATATCTAGAATATTTTTATCTGGTTTTGTCCTTCTAACATATAGAAAAATTCCACTATTGACTACAAATGTGATCAAAGCAGTCCATCTTAAAGAGAAGATTTTTCGAGATATGTTTTTGCATTGTCAAAATCTTACCGATTGATAATAAACATCACTGCGACACATAATAATGCTCTAGTTAATGCCAACTATTTATTATAATATCGAAAATCTGATCTCCACCCACTAGCTTTTGCTAATAATACATCGAAACATGCATAATTAACTAATGCATAAGTCATTAGAAAAAAAAATTGGAAAATATCGGTTCAATTACATTTAATTCACCTTTGAAAGATATGAAAATTTATTTGAAAAACAAGAAATGTTCAAAGAATTTTCTTTATCAATAGCAGTAAATGAAACAGCAACGAAATATGTTAGGACATATGTTCGTATTGGTTCATTAGATTTTCCATTATCAACAGCAAAATATTTTAAACAAGGATAAATCATATCTCGACAAACAGCTTGAAAGATTTTCGATGCACCAACAAGACTTGTTAAAATAGATCTCATAGATATAACTATATAAATTCACCATCCTACCTAAAGCACTTGATAATATTACAGCAAATATTCTAGTTAAGAACAAACAAACAAACAAAGTTAAATCAACAGATAGATAATATTAACAAACCAATTATAATTGGTTCAAAGGCTGATATCATTTTCATTATTTGATAATTATATATTAAACGAGCTCTTTCAAAATCATATCATCACCTAGGAATAGAAGTAGATTGCGATAGTCTAATCGATAGCGACTACAACTAGCCTCGAGCATAGCCGAAAGCTGAAAACCTTTAACTTTTTTTTCGTTTTTCAAAGCTCCAAGACAATCATTTCAATCGGCAGAAACGGCTGTAAACCAATGTGTCACAACACATTATATGTCATCATATTCCACTATCCTATTCTAAGAACCATTTTTTTCTAATCTGAGACATATGTAAAAGTCTCAAGCTTCGGTGGTGGCTAGAATTTTTTAATAAATTTTTTTTTTTTTAATTTTCTGAAATAAGCTCTAAAAGGAGTGTTAAAGTATGTAGGAGTAGAAACTTGGGCCTACCTTTCCGTGCACAGTAGACAGTCAACGCGACAACTTTTTGCTTGAGTTCTAATTTTCTCACTAACTTGGCGCAGAAAAATATTGAATAGTATCTTATATGGTAGTACATTGGACGCGCTTTAACATAACTTCTACTATATCCCGTCCTCATAGACATTTTAGCAAAAATTTATCGCATACGTGGCAAAATTCATAACAAAAGTAAGCAACTCAATCATGTTTTACATTTGAATCTCGCAGAAATCGTACTAATAGCTTTTTTTAGATTCAAGAAAGGACAGCGATAAATTTGCTAGCTAATTGACTCTTTCTGTAAACTAAAGAAGAACATTACTCATTATATATGTTTTCAAAATTGATTAACGTATTTATAAATATGATCCAATTATATACAGGATCAACGAAGGATTGGTTGTTATTTGGTACATGTCTATTCATATGAACTATCCCCTAATAAAGAAAAAGAATCTCGAGATATTACGCTGCATCTGTTCTACCATAGAAAGTTTATATTAGCTAAGAACCTTTCAGTCCAATCCCTGGAGGATTAAAAATGTAAAACACGATGTAGCTTGTTATGTTGCACGTAAATGTAGGAATTCAGCATATCAATTGTGGCATACAACGATAGAAAATGGTTTAATTTTTGTTGTATTTTTATTCATATAGAGAAAACATTAAGAAAAATATAAAATACAACTAAGAAAAAAAAAAGACAAGATTATTTTCCTTGACAGTCATCATGATGATATACTTGTTCACCCTAAAACAATCAATAATAACTGATTTTGGATTGTTTATCAAATAAAATTAATTTACAATTTGCCAAACTTGAGCCATATTATCTTCCGATACAGAACAGATGACAAATGGTTCATTTGAATTCCATGAAAAATCAGAAATTTTAGCGGCATGACCACCGTGGATAAACTATAATAAATAAAATAATTTAAATAAGAAAGAATTTTTTGATTTACTAATAGTTCAGGTGGACCATCTTCTACTTCAGATGATGTCTGTGGTTGATTAATTCGACTAAATAATAGGTGTTTATTACATTCGATGAAATGATTCGTTAAGATTTACCTTAAATCCCATATATGAAGTCGTCGATCAGAATCACTTGATGCAAAAATAGTTTCATTTTGAGGTGACCATTGTACCTAAATAATCAATTATAAAATCTTTTTTTTTTCTTCATTTATACTTGAAAAATTTCATATTTATGAGATTCAAATGTAGTTAATTTAACTTTTAAATTTCTTAAATCCCATAAAGCAACTGTTCGATCAGCTGAACCGGTTATAAGAAAATATTCTGAGAATGGATTAAAAGAAAGCTAGAAGATAAAAAAATCAATCTATTATGAATAAATTAAATAATTATTACTTACACAATTAACTTTATCTGAATGTGCATCAATTATATGACTGGCTTTTACATAATTATTTGATCTTGTATCCCAACTTGAAATAAAATTCAAAATTTTAAATAATAGAAAAATCATCCAATACTTACATCATTAATTTTTGATCATCACCTACAGAACCAAATATAGTTGGATGTGTACAATGCCATGCAACATCCTATGAAAAATAGTTTATCTCTTACAATCACCTCAAAATCATATAGATTCCGTAAAACTTGGGTATAACAATAACCTATTAGAGAGAGCTGCACGTTCATGTTTTATGGACCCGAACAGATCTAGACATCGAATTTTTTCCCTAATATTTAGATAAACTTATTTCATGTTGTCTTTCCTCGCATTCGACGCTAAATACAAACGAGGTCCTTGAGTTAAATCTAGATATAGACCCAGACTCGATTTATTAATTTTTTTGGATCCGATCAAGTCCATCCTTGGCTATGGAAACACTCACAGTTCTCTAAAGTCTATGTATGTGTTATCGTAGTCTGCTTATAAAAGAGATGTTCGTCATAGAACATCTTTGGCTTATAATCAAAAAACTAATATTTCTTTATCAATTAGTTCATTGTCAATATTTGGAAATAAAACATTTTCTATAAAAGATTTTCTTACTTCAACAACCATTGAATGTCCAGTATAAATCGATAAAGTTTCTAAATTTTTTCCTTCTCTTGGATTAATATTTATATTCCATAAACAAACAGTATGATCATCAGCAGCACTAAGTAATTGTCCATTAATATTTGAATTCCATGATAAACCATAACCTTCTTTTGTATGACCTTTTAAACGTAATTCGGGATTACAATCACCTGGTTGTTCTTTACCTAATGGATGTGTATCAATATTGAATATTAATACATCAGATAATGGTGTTTTTGTTGCAATTATTTGAGGATTTTGTGGCATATAACGAGCACGATTAACTTCACCTTCATGATTAATTTTTAAATCAATTTCAATACGACTATTTATTAAACCAAAACCACCTAATTCAGCTCGTTCATTATCATAATGAGAAGCATCTAATTCAAGATCTTCTTTTGGTAATTGTACACTAGCTATAATAAGATGATTTTGTTCATTCAATGTATGTGTACCAAGAATTAAACGATGATTATTAAAATCTCGACCTTCTTCTCTAAAAAGAAGACAAAACAAAAAAAACGACTTTCAATAAAAAAAAATGAATTATTAATCAAAAAAAATTTCATACATTCGAACATGAGGTAACCATTGAGTTGTTAAACTAGGCCATTCAAGTGCATGAGTTATAACACAATTATAAAGAAGTGGTGCATTATTTTTCCATATTTTATATTCTTCATTTATTGTTTTTTCTTCAACATTATTATTAAATTCACCTATGAATAAATAAAGATAGATTAAAGAAAATTTTTTTTAAATTTCTATGAAATTAAATTATATGATCCTAATTCATCTGCTCCAGTTTGTGAACGAGTACCTTGTGGATTTATATCATTAATTGTGTTTTTGACGTAATTAAATAAATTATTTAATTGTTTAATTAAATCTTTTTCTTCAACAAGTCTATAAAAGAAAAGAAACAAATAAATTTTCATTAGATGAATAATAGCATCTTACTTTATTTGTTCATCTATTACTTCAAAATGTTCGTTCAAATTGATGGTAATTTGTCGTCTCTTTATCATATCATTCTAAAATTCAAAAAAAAATTTCCTATTTTATTTTCCTCAAAAAAGAAAGTTCTTACTTGTACTTCAACAAAAGCTTTATTTTCTCGTTTTTTCATAGTAACTGTGTTTTCAGCATTTTTGAATAACCATGTCGACGTATATTTGTTTTCACCAGCTTGTTGTTCGAACTTGTTCTTAAAAATTAAAATAGAATGATATATATACAATGGTTTGCAAAAAAACTTGGAACAAATCTTTAGCCTTTATTAAAGACTAGTTCCACTACTTTCAACGAAATATTTCATTATTTAATGCATATGAGTTTACAGTTTTAGAATATCTAATTCAATACTTGATTCGTTTTTCTTTTGATTGGATAACTGAAAGACATCTGGTTTTTTATGCTAATAATAAAATTGATTATAACTTTTTTCAATATTCATTTTTAGGACGATTCAAATAGCGTGAAATCATGCTAATGAAAATAGTTAACTCACATTGTTCATGCCATTTTTCAGTCAATTCTTTCAATATCAGTTCATTATTTCATCTACAAAATTGACCCCATGCTTAATGTATTTGGCTTTAATCATAGAGATTTTGCTCATTAACTGTTAGATAATCTAGGAAATCTTATGTTGTGAGTTTTTGAAATTGGCAAACAATTGTAGACATAGGTACCTTTGTATATCAGTAGACATTCTCTGGTGAACGTATTCTGATATTCCAATAATGTAATCCAAAATTATGATGCAATTTTTGGGTGACTGTCTCTGCTATATCAGCTTATTACTAAATAACGATAATATAGAGATCGATTGAATATTTTTACTACATAATCTGCTTAGTATAAATCTACAATAACCACAAAATAAAGGCTCAAGAAAATCTAGAAAACATTATATGTTTATGTCGGAAGATTGTTCCAAGTTTTTTTGCAAACCATTGTATATGTATAAGTCTATTAGTTTTTCTTACGTCTACACCATGATATGTTTGATGGAAATCATTTTTTTTTAAATAAGAATTTAAATAGATATTCATGTGTTGGAATTTTTTCTTATCATTGTTCATTTTTATATCTAAAATGTTAAATATAATTTTAAAAAAATTTTTTATGAATATAAATTAAAAGAGTTGGTTAGAAATCATCGGATTTTCCCTACTCTGAAAACATCTAAAATGGAAGTATCTTTAGAGTACATTACTATCTTGATATGGGGCTTGTAAGATCTCTTCCCTTCTAGGAATTAAATTGTGTTTCTTTCTTTTACTTTGTAATCGTTTTAGTATATTGTAAAATCAACAAATCTTTGTTAAGTGAAATAGAAAGAGACATGCCTGACTAAATAAAAGATAAAAACAGA